ATTAAAAAATTTGCCTTATTATAAATCTTACTTATTATAAAACGCATTGTGTGTGTGTGTGTGTGTGTAACGTTTATATATTGGATCGGATTTCCTACATTTTTCAACCGATTTCAACAAAACTTCACAGGACTACATAAAATTACCTTGTGGTGGTTCTAACAGCGCCAAATGGGAAAAATATAATTGTTTTTGCACAAAATCAATTTGAAAACACGATTAAGAGACATCGTGAAAATGGAAGGGGACAACTCATCATCGGGTTGTTTTGTGTGTGTGGGTTCCTTTAAATATGGGATCGGATTTCCTATATTTTTCAGCCGATAAAACAAAACTTTTTTTTTTTTTTTTTGGCAGGTAGTGTTTCTTATTCTCTTGCACACTTTTTTTCTTTATTTTTAACATTCAGAATGCTTTAAAAATTCCATTTACAAGACAATTATTTATAATAAAATTCTATTCAATTGGGAGACTCATAACGATTGAAAACAATGTTTTTGTTTGAGTTTGGGTTTGACCAATTCGTAAAAAAAAAAAAAAAAAAAAAAAAAACTAATTAAGACATGCGTGTCCGTCAACCTTAAACAATAATCTAACGATCTCTACTGATTGTACGAATACAAACATCGGATAAATTCTTTATCTTTAGGGAAAGATAATGAAATCTAAACATACACAAGTCCTAACTAAAAATAATAACCGGAACGGGAAACTACTTTAAATACACATGGTGTCCAATTTTTTACTGTATTCAATAAGTAAAAATCATAAATTGTAAAAGATTATTATTACAGAAAGGCTACTAAATGAATAAGATTTGTTAGATCATAATTAATAAACCCAAATAAAGTTAATATTTTTTGTATTAGAAACAACGAGTGGAAAATATATTCAAATCAGAATTCTAATTATGAATCACCACAAGCAAAATATGCAATTTTTTTTACTGTATTCAATAAGTAAAAATCATAAATTGTAAAAACTAAAAGATTACAGAAAGGCTACCTACATTTTTCAACCGATTTCAACAAAAACTTTTTTTTTTTTTGGCATGTAGTGTTTCTTATTGTCTTGCACACTTTTTTTCTTTATTTTTACATTCAGAATGCTTTAAAAATTCCATTTACAAGACAATTGTTTATAAAAAAATTCTATTCAATCGGGAGACTCATAACGATTGAAAACAATGTTTTTTGTTTGAGTTTGGGTTTGACCAATTCGTAAAAAAAAAAAAAAAAAAACTAATTAAGACATGCGTGTCCGTCAACCTTAAACAATAATCTTTGTCAATTTTATTTTTCAGTCTTTATGATGGTGGATACTTGATCTATCTCTTACTGTTATATCCCCGGGCAACGCCGGGCTCTACTGCTAGTATATATATAAAAATATATATATAAAAATATATATTTATATATCAACCAATATATATATATATTTTATAATAATATATGACTACGAATATTGGGAATATTTATACATATTAAACGATATATACACCTATAAAATTCCAGATAATGTATACCTGGAAAGTGATCTCCGCTTTGAATTATTTTTAACAATTCATTATGAAGGATTAAAATTTTTTATTACCCAGCAGACCCTAAATTTCGATTTATTGCAATGTGCATGTGTTTAATCAAGTTTCTCCTTGCCTTGAATATATATATTATATATATAATCAACTAAATGGAACAAGCAGATCATATATATATAATAATATATAAAAATTGTTATTTATGCACCACTTATATATATATATATATATTTCTATATATCTAAGTTTATTTGCCATAATAATGTGTATATCTTTAAGATCTATATATTCACTTCTCAGGATTGATTAACCCAAAAACGTATTATTTGGCCATATGAATATATATATATATAAATTATATATATTAAATATATATATGTATATATATATATACCTTGAGTAGCTCTTGGGATTTTTTTATTTTAGAAAGGGTAGCCAAAATGTGGCTTGAGAGCCATATGGGTAACTGATCTTTTATCACTCTCTCTGAATGATATATATATATATATATATATATATATATATATATAAATTGTATATATTGTGTATAATATATACAGTATAACCTTGATATAAAATAATTAAGATGATATTCATGAAAAAAGATATTATATAGAATTTTCTCTTTATCTTATTGAAAAATTAGAGCCTATGTTAATGTATAAAAAAAAAAAAAAACCCGGATATGAGAGAAACCAGGATATTTTACTCCTTCTTTTTCCCGACAACTTTTCTTAACAAAAGCAAATGAATCAAATTTTTTTATATATATATATATATATATATATATATATATCGAATAAAGTGACCCTAAATTCTTGACATTTTTTTTCTGCGGTGGATATTCTTACAGAAGAGAACATTCAACTCAATGAAAATCAAAGATGCAACATCCTGGAAAATTAAATGTTATTAAAGAGTTAATGTTTTTAAAATACACGACAGCAAGGAGTTATTGATTGAGTTGTTGTGAATCTTAGAAAAGAGTATGAAACTTTTCCATCTCCAAATGTTGGAAATCATAAAAAGATGTTATTAGTTAATATTCCAAAGAAAAAAAAATGTTACTGAAAAATATATATATACAAAAATATGCATTTTTACGTATACAATAACCTGTATAATATATATATATGGCTGTGATATATATATATATATATATATATATATTCTATATATACGATTTTTATAAACAACTAATGATTTCGACACAGCTACATGATTTGATTAAATTTGGGTTTAGAACTAAAGCCTTACTTAAATGATTTGCCTAGCTTTTTTATGTTTAGGTTCTTAAAAATGGAAAAGGAAGAAAATTGGTTCATATTTAAATTGAATACATTTTACAAAATTGAAATTTACTCTTTGAATTTTATATTACGTTTGTCGACAATTTTTTCAAATTTTTTCATGTTTAAATCACAATCATGTAAATATAAAGGACTTGTTTTAGATTCCATCATATTTGTGTACAGAAAAGTTGTTTCAAAATAATCATGTAAATGACAGACATTCTCACACATCCATTCATGTGGGTGTTTGTGTATGTCAATATGGATCCTATGATCTTTGTGTTGCCAGTTTAGGTGTTGGGACATCTCTGAATTAAACCTTTTTAAATCTTTAAAATGAAATTCAAGATTATAAAATAAGGAAAACATCTTAAAAAATTGTCCAGAAAATGTGTGTTGTTAAATGCTGCCGCAATCTGACAATAAATCACTTTAGAAGTAACTTTTATTTAAAATCACAGATTTGTGATTCATCTTGATTTTTATTTATGACTTATAACCTTTTGAAAATTTAGAAACAGGATAAATCTTGAAACCGAAAAGTCTAGATTATTTTTTCTTATTTATATAATAGACAATTTATTTTTTTAAAGGATTTGAAAATTTTATTTTTTGAAAGGAGATTTCAAATTTTCTTTAAAATTTTATTTAAAATTCCCGGGGACAATAGAGTTTAGAATTTAATTTATAAATTAATATATATATATATATATATATATATATCACATATATATATAGAATATATATATATATATATATATATATATATATATATTTATATATATATATATTTATCAAATCAAATAGATGACGGTCGGAAATCAATGAAACCTTCAGTAAATAAAAGAACAAATATGAAAACATACATCAATATAACATATGTAATCTTTTATTAAATCTTATTTAAGGGATTAATCATTTTTAGATTCAGAAAATAACACTATTATTTTCAATTATGTTTGGCTCAGTTTTTTTTGATTTTTAAAACCGTAGATAATTCCATCTGTATATAAGTTTGTGGCCATTCTTGTATGTCTAAGTGGGCATTGAAAAGTAAGGTTATTCATATTTCTGTATGTGTGTTTGTCTTTTTTTCTTTCATGTCTTCCCTTATTTCGATCAGTCCAGCGCAGATTGCTTTGTCAAATAATTCTAATACAATAAATCTCTTTAAGAATTGTATTCTTAGATAGATATGTTACATTTTAAAATAAATGATACTCAAAGAAAGATGGCGATGTAATTTGATGTATTAAATCTGTGTTTATAGTTGTTAATACCTTTATTATTAATAAACAGAATGATTTCCCTTAAAATTATATCTTCTTTTATATATATATATATCAATATAAAGTTATGTCCAGCATCGTTTATATGAAAAACGAGAGAGTTAGATCATAGATAAACGTAATCTCTCTTGTGTTCCTACACGATGGGATTTCAGATCCCTTGACGTTTCCTCCACATAAAATTTCTGCCATGTTAATTTGAAAAATTCCTGGTAATTTGAATTAGTGTTGTATTTATTTTTCTATATAATATATATATATTCAATTGTATATATATGTATATAACTATCCTAGCATTATATACTAATTTGTTTGTGAGTTTAGTAGAAAGATTATTGGGGAGCAAGATATGAGTTAGATGTATTTTTTATTATATGTTTTATTGGTATTGTCTGGTTCATTGTATTTTTAGATTTTGAACCCTCGTTTTTAGGGTTGTGGATAATATGAAATGTGTTTAGAAACTTGAATGTTTTTCTCAATATATTTCTCTTTTCATTTAGGTATTCGGGGCTATATGTTCGTAACTTTGTTTAGAATCTTTGATTAGTCCCCAAATTTTTTGGTTGTGGTGGGAATAGAATTGATTAGATCGTTTTTGTTTCAGGGTTTACGACCCCTTTTAAAATCCTATTTCTTTTTATATTGCGTATTAATAAGATGTCGAGGAAAGATAAAATTTTTTTGTTCGAAAATTTGTGTGTATTCATTGGTCGGTTCAATTTAGAAATATTCCTGTTTTTTTCTTTCACACCAGAAATCCATTGTTTTATTAAATTTTTGAAATCTTGGATGAACTCGATTAAGATATTTTTATTTTGTTTAGTATTATTTTCAAATGCAGACCTATATTTAAAACTGTTTTTAAAAAATGTTCCAAAAATGACGATCGTGTATGTATACCTGAAAGAAATATCCGTATTTGGATAGGAGACTGTAGTAAGCTACTGTAAGTGGACGACGCAAAAAACGATTTTGGACACAAAAGGCGGGATAACGAGAACTGATTAGACACAATTTAAATAACATTGGTTCTTTTTATTTCATTTTTGCAGTTGAATATGACATTTTTGTAAAATAAAAAACGAAAGATTATTTCAAATTTTTTCCTTAGATTTAATTTTCTAATGGATCTCAATTAACGCAGGGTAATTCCATTATGATATGTTTGAGTTGAATATTCATCTTCTTTTATAGAGAACTTGGAAATAAGTAACAGGAAATGTTAATGATATTGTTTGCCGTCCAAAATAATGACAAAAAAATTTTTTAAAAGTCTTGATAATGGAGCAAAAAGAAAGGGAAAGTTCGACATTCAGAACCTCCTGGAGAAAGAAGGAGCGAAAAACGGTCGAAAGTTTTTCATAAATATCTTGACAACGTTTAGGACAATAAGTTAAAATAATGTAAATAGTGCAATCTTTTTAATTATCTACATCTGAAAAAGATGACAACAAATTTTATCTTTCTTAGGCCATTTATGCGTTATATTAAATCTATCAAACGTAATCAATCAGAATCTTGGAAATTTCAAGGAGAAAAAAAATCCGAGCTATTATCCATTTTGTGTTTGAAAAAGGACACTTGCGCATATTTGTTTTGAAATAAAGCGGTCACCCATCTTGATATTGGCCTAATGTCGAACGTTGCTTAACATCGGTGATCAACACGGTAAACTCTCTTCAATTTAATAGGACACTAAGCGTACCATACGTGGATCCTGTTATATTCATTTCCAATTGAAAATAAGTCTTTTTTATTAACCATAAAACACGCAACTAACACGTATATATATATATATATATATATATATATATATATATATATATATAATAATTATTAGGAGGATTTGATAATTATATTTAATTAATTCATTGAGTCTGATAGAAACCTCAACAGAAAATAGAGGAAGCACTGGACGGCCGTTTCGTCCTATAATTGGGACTCATCAGCAGTGCGCACAGTGTAAGTATACGCCATTTTGTTCTCAATCATATATATATATATATATATATATATATATATATATATATATATATATATATATATATATATATATATATATATATATATATATGAAGAAACGATGCTAAATACTGACTAGTCTTAACACTATTTTTAAGCTCAATTATCAAAACGATAACCAGCGTTACAACATTATTTCGCTGTAAGCAATCTATCTATCTATCTATTTCATTTCAGTCTCTCATCTATCTATCTATCTATATATCTATTTCATTTCAGTGTCTCGTCTATCTATCTATCTCAATTATATCATCTATCTATCTATCTATCTATATATATATATATATATATATATATCAGTTATATCATCTATCTATCTCAGTTATATCATTTATCTACCTATCTATTTCATTTCAGTCTCTCATCTATCTATGTATCTATCTCAGTTATATCATCTATCAATTCCATTTCAGTCTCTCATCTATCTATCTATCTATCTATTTAAGTTGACATTTTGAAAAAGTATCGACTCGACATTTTTCCCCAACTCCAAATATCTCAATTTTTTTCGAAGGTCATATTTGCCTCCTTGCCAACCACTTGTGTGTGTGTATATATATATATATATATATATATATATATAACTTGACTTAAATGTTTAATTGAAGGTATATGGGTGTATCAACTGATATTTTCTGCTTGAATGGTGGCTAAATGAACTTCGCAGACAGGAAATTTATGAATGTGTACACTCATATACGCACATGCAGTTATATATATATATATATATATATATATATATATATATATATATATATATATATGAATACTCTGATTCTGCAGGTCAGGTGGGCAATATATTTAAAAAAAATATAAATATTAAATATTACATGGTACTCTTTTAAAAAGATATATTTTTAAACATATTATGATGTTTTAAATACCTATCACATGATAGATACACCCATGCACACACACACACACACACACACACACACACATATATATATATATATATATATATATTTGTGTGTGTGTCTATTTTTCGTGATTGATACGTAAAGCATCAAAATTTATTCTAAAAGCACAATCGCATACAAATATGGACAATATAAGTTAAACTCAGTTTTTGGAGAGTGCTTTACACGCATACACACACACGTATATATACGTATATAAAATAATAAAAATATGTGTTTTCGACATGAATCGAACTTGTATCCTACACGGATCCGTTATATAACCTGACGTGCTATACCAGTTTAGCTACGAAGGAAGCGCCTGGTTAGCAGTAAAGCTATAAATCGACCTTGCTAACTAAATGTAGATTAAAAGATTTTTAAGTAAATTTAAAAACGATGTGATACCGCATTTATTAATTAGTTAAATCCTTGGGGGAAATTATAGGGTCAGAATAAAAAATAGCCTGGTGGTTATGTCTTTATTAACCAATTAAATGTTAGATCTACGGTAAATAGAAAAGGAAGCTCAAATTTTAGAGGTGGATTATTTTTTTTTATGTCATGATAAACCAGAGCATAGACAATCCATCGCTGACAATTACGGAAAATATGTGGCTCTCATATTTACTGTTGGTGCCTTGGAATAAAGGTACTCTCTAGACATTTTCGTCGGAGTGAATTGTTTCTCCTTTGATCTGAGTAGCATTTTTTTTCTTTCAAAATTGTCATTTACCTGACCTCTTCGATGATACAATAGAATTTCCATACGAAATGGAAGAATACAATACATTACCTTTACTAGATATCAAGTTACACTGCGTTAATAACAGCTTAAAACTTGATTTATTTATTGGATGTATTATTTAATATTTTTTAAAAATATTTTTAATATTTTTTATTTATGTTAATATTTTTAATATTATTTACTATTTTATGAATTAATTTTGCAATTTGCATTTGTCTTATTGAGATGTCTTTTGTTAACTTTTTCGCGTCTTTTTTTCAATTATAATGGTCATGTATGTTGGCTTTGGAACTATATATATATATATATATATATAGATAGATAGATATGTGTGTGTGTGTATAAAGAGGAGGAAATGGGTGAGGATTAAACTTGATAATTTTTCAATTATCTTCGGGCAATATTGTTGCTTCCTTAAATAGATTGGAAAATATATATATATCTACTTGCGCATTCAGTCTCGTCCAACCCCGACCAACATATGAAAACGCAAATATGCCGATAAGTCACTACTTAAGTCTCAACGTAAACGTATCATATATATATATATATATATATAGAGAGAGAGATAGATAGAAACCTTCACAGAATGCAGGAAGCACTGGACGGCCGTTTCGTCCTATATTTGGAACACATCAGCAGTGCGCATCCATTACCGAGTATCGAACCCTGATAGGTGGGTTGTCAAGCGTGCACCATACCAACTGTTCCAAATGGGTCTCGGTGACGAAGAGATTCCAAATCAGACTCAACTAAGCGCCGCTCGCTCACATATTCCGTGGCGGAACTCAACTGAGTTCTCTGTCACCATAGGACTGTGCCCCCGGGAGCCACGACTACTCTCACCAAGCCGCTACCAAGTGGAGCATTAGAAGCCGGTTCAAGCGAAGATGAACACAGATAGTAATCTATCAGACTCGATGAATTAATTAAATATCATTATCAAATCCTCCTACTAATTACTATATATATATATATATATATGTGTGTGTAAAAAATTCTCCCAAACCAAACTACACAAAAAATATATCCAGAAATCAAAAGAAAACGATTGAACAATACAAACAATATTTCTATACGTGATACTAGTCCCTTCAGCCTAAAGTAATTGACGTAATTTTTCCGTTGACCATATTAATATATAAAATGGCGTCTATACATTCGTCGAGTTGCTAACGACATTTTGTTTGTTGCTTATAGAGACTTTGTTTCAATAAATTCACTTGATTTTTTGCCTTGAAAAGTCTACATTGGATGAAACGCGTCAGATAAAATCTACAGTTTTCTTATTGTTTTCTTCGCCTTACCAGATTTTCTCCACAATAGCCCCTGATAACATACATTAGTCTAAAACGAAAGGCACCATCAAATGGTGACTCTCATTTATCGTTCACGATAGTAGAGTCCACCATATATATATATATATATATATATATATATATATATATATATATATATATATATATATGTGTGTGTGTGTGTGTGTGTGTGTTTGTGTGTGTGTGTGGATGTTATGGTCCAATATCATCGCACCACAGTTATGGTCCAAGTTTAGAACCAAGGAAAAACAACACGGACACACGAGTAGAATAACAAAGATATATTACAACAGAAATATAGTACAAGAAGTTGAAGGTGTTTGTAATGACTGTCCGTCTGGTTTAGAGTGAACTAATATTGTCTCGACTCGTTACACCATTCATTCGGTATTTAGCCCCCCCCCACGAGGGTTGCATGTGGTATAAGGCCAAGTTTAATGTGGGTTTCCGGAGCCCGTAGGCTCGGCCAAAAATATACCCTGTGAACCCGCCTAGACGGGTTCAGGGCCTGTCTGCCTCCCCGGACGAAACCTTGCCCTTCTACAAAGCTTCGTCTGGGTTCCTCTCTGCCAAAGCAGAGAGTTCAACAGACATGACCTGGTGCTCGTTACGCCATTCCTTCATTATACCGCTTGAGAGGCGCAGTATTTATAGCGTCAGGAAGAGTCCATTATCGTTATAGGTAAGTTCCCATTATATATATATATATATATATATATATATATATATATATAAATTAGCTGATTTAAAATAGGGTTTCTTCGTTACACAGTAAAACCATGTTTAAAAATTTGAAGGTAAAAGCTTTAAATTTAATCACAAAATTCAATTAAATGCATTAGTTCTGTTTTATCTTCAAGTGAATTTTGTAATTTTGAAACAGAACTAATTTTTTTTAATTTAATTATATAATTAAATTTGACGTTTTTGAAACATGGTTATTTCTGTGAAGCGAAGAAACCATATTTTAAATCAGTTGATTTATAATATTTATGCTGTGTAACTTTACATTGAGCACTATTGTGTAAAAATAAAAATAAAAAATATCAATAAGAACACATGATTACATATCTTTTTTTTTTTTATATATATATATATATATATATATATATATATATATAAATTTATTTTAATTCTTTTTTCTCTTAGCTTCTATGGCTAGAAGACAAACAGAAAATATACTAAAATTTAACATTCTCCCATTTATAAATAAAAAAAATATAATATCAATAAGAACACATGATTATATATCTTTTTGTTTTTTTTTTATATATATATATATATATATATATATATATATATATATATATATAGATAGATAGATAGATAGATAGATGTGAAATTTATTTTAATTCTTGTTTTCTCTTAGCTTCTATGGCTAGAAAACACACAGAAAATATACCAAAATTTAACATGCTCCCATTTATAAATGTCTACAACTATAACACTGAAGAAATACAATTAAATAACAATTACTGTCGTTTAACTATTAATCTTTTGGTTTTTCTCCTTGCTTCCTTCTTTCATATTTCATATTCATATTTCATATTTCATATTCATATTTCATAGTGCATTTTGTCACTCTTAAGCTTTACTTCCATAACAGTCATCTTCTTTTAAACAAGGTTGTGAATCTGTTATGGAGAGGCTGTCTTTTGTGGGAGAGAGGGCTGGAGTTATGATTCAGATCAATGGCAACTTGAAATAAGAAAATCTAATTCGATTTTGCAAAATCACGCTATACCATCTGGTTAACACATAAACAGTCTTCCTGCTTTTTCTTTTTTTTTTAGCATTTCACCCGAAACAAGGAGAGAATGCCACTAGCACGCAAGGATTACAGAGAGTGAAAGTCAGGGAAAAGACTGGTTATGTGTGGGTTGAGGAAATAATATAAAGGAGAACAAAGCATCAGAAGATGTCGATTGACATTACATTTAAATTTTTGAAGATTATATTTTTCAGGGAAGCAGGTAAAATGAAGGGAGTTCGAATATGAGAAGTGCGAGACAATAAACTTTTGAGTAGAAATTTTTTTACATATATATATATATATATATATATATATATATATATATATATATATATCTGTTCCGACAGTAACAGGGTGGGGCCGAGATGAGGATCTAATAGTACGCTGAATTTCAAGCCAGTCAGGGCATTTAGTGAAAATAACTCATGACAGTAGTTAAAAATGAATATATTTTAGAAAAGACAAAAGGAAGCCAGGTTATGTCTGGGAGAAAGTGATTAGAAAATTGGTGACAATTCAGGATCGATCAAATTGCATGCCCGTCTTTGGATTTTGTCGAGAACCTCGAGAGGAACCAGCATTGGGACGGAGCATTTATTGATATTTGAGGTAGATGCAGACAACAAAATGAACTCTTATCGGTAAAAAAAAAAAGCTACAATCTCCACCTATCTCTCATGACCTCTTTCCAAATGAATTAATACTGGATGAATTGATTAGGAGAGTTCCAAGAGAATACCCAAAGAGTGAGTGTGAGCTTTTTCATTGATTGAAGGATGCTTGTGAAGGTCAGTCATCTACTTTTTTTTGAAACCTGTTGGAAAGAATACCTTGATTTTGTAAAGCCTTAATTAAGAGACATAGTGGGTTTATTGATGAAAACAAAATATGACGATGTTCCTTCATAACTTCTTTAGAGTTAAGTGATTTTTTTCTTGGTAAGATAACAGCGACTGCACTGTACGGTACATTTTTATTTTTATTAAAAATATTCAGAAAATCTTATTTTAAGGTGTTTTTTTAAAAAAATAAATGCAGTGTGGACCCACATTTTTAAAAGCAATATATATATATATATATATATATATATATATATATATATATATATATATATATATATAATATATATATTTCTGTAGTTTACTGCTACCAGACAAAGCAGCCAAAATATTTCTTCTCCGATGATGGCCATTTTGGACATGAAATTGTAAGTCATAGGAATTTTAAATGAAATAATAAAAAAAAACCGAAAGAATATTAATCTACAAGCCAGTATGTCTTGAAGCATTTTTTAATTTTTAATATTTAGCCGAATTGTTACATAATATATATATATATATATATATATATATATATATATATATATATATATTATCTATATTTTTTAAAATGATATAGTGAATATAATTCAAAAAAAATATAAAAGGATATAGATGCAAAAATAGCTGCGCATGTGAATGAATGACATTAATTTACTTTGAATAATGCGATAAACATATATATATATATATATATATATATATATATATATATATATATAATGTTTATGGAAAAACATTATCCAAAAACATACTTGAGCCATAGATGACTAAAAAGAAAAATGAAGTAAAATATTTTAAAGCGCGCACACACACACTCACGGACGGACGTCCAGATGCACATACACAGAGAGGAAAATACATCCGTAAATAAGTCGGGCAGGTGGAGATGTCTGTTTATTGGAGACGATGGAATGCGCGGAGAACGGACGTAGAGATGCAGTTAGGAAAAAATCCATTTTTCTTTAATAAAAAAATAGTAGATTTACATAATGTTTTTTTTTTTTGTGGAGAAGCATTTGACATCAGAGAAAGGTAAATCTCGATTACATGTATGAGAGGCTATATTGATATTTATATACAATATACACATATGTGATTGTCCGTCTTGTTTTTTTGTTCGCTTTTCCTTGCTTGTTATCTCTCCGTCATTTATAAGATCTTTTCTATATGCATATTTCAGACGGTTCTATCTATCTATCTATCTATCTATCTATCTATCTATCTATCTATCTCAGTTTGTTCGTATTTATCTCGATTTCTCTGAGCCTGCTTCTATCTATCTATCTATCTATCTATCTATCTATCTATCTATCTATCTCAGCCTTCTTCTATCTATCTATCTATCTATCTATTTATCAATATATCTCAATCTGTTCTCATCTCGATCTCTCTGAGTCAGCTCCTATCTATCTCTCTGTCTATCTCAGCCTGCTTCAATCTATCTATCTATTGGCGGGAGTATTTTGTTAATTTGTTTATTATTTACTCTATTTATATATTAGGATTAATTTATCTTACTAGTTTTTGCTTATTTATTATTTATTTTATCTATTTTTATTGTTTTTATTTTTAAGTAACGTAGTAAAGTTTCTTTTTGTGTCTGCATTATCAGATGGGTCCTGATCATTTATTTAGTAGTTTGTTTTGGTCTGGGATGGTAATTATAGCTAATTTCCTCCTTTAAGAAAAAAGAAGACATTGATTATTTCTTTTTTTATTTTATGCCTTAATAATATATATATATATATATATATATATATATCTATATTAGATTGTTATATATAGAGATATCTAGAGATTTATTTTATAGATGTAGATATATTTCTTTTTGTGTTTCGAACACTAAGTAAATCAATGGTGAATAAATAAAAAAAAGGAATTTATGAAAATTTTTGTCAAAACCAAAGTTTATGATTAGTTCATCTATGTTCTTTCTGTCATTTATCTGAAACACACTCACTCACACACACACACACACAAACACATACATATATTATATATATATATATATATATATATATATATATATATATATATATATATATATATATATAGATATATTATATATAGGTTATTAGAACCGTGAAAAATTTTTTTGTGACAAAAAGATGATTGATTTTAAATCATTATCATTTGTGAAGAAAAATGATGCATTTCAATGTTACTCAATGATTTTGCCGATGTGACCTCCGTCTTCTGACTTTCTCCTTCTATATTTTCGATAGCAGTCATTCTCTTGTTCGAATTTAAATTTAATTTTCAGTCTTTTGAGCGATGGATTGTGACTCCCGGAGACCCGCTTTGATCAAAATGTAATATACTTAACCACGTCCCCTGTGTAATGTAGTGTCAGAATATATTTGCTTATGAGGATCTCCAAAACCCCAAGGAAGAATTCGATAACAGAGAGAGGCTACAACTATATATAAATATCTCTATATAAATCCTTTTAGTAACGAACAGCATATAGTTTCATACCACTTGCACCTTTCAAGATGATCTTGGGAGAATATCGAAAGTACTTGGGAAATGAAAAGAAAAGAAATTTAAACAGCTATAACACATTTATTTCATCCTTTAACATCAATACACGGAAGCATAAACGGATTTCATAAAAAATTAGCAGACATAATGTTTGTAATTTATTCAATTAGACATGTCTAAAAGAGAATTTGCTGCCTAAGTACACAAATTTTATATATATATATATATATATATATATATATATATATATATACAAGTATATAATTGGTGTATACGGAATGAATTCCAATAACCAACAATTACTATTCTTAAAAGAGTACTCAATACAGAGTAGAGCAGATATTTATTTATTTCTTCAACATCATCGCTTGATAAGAGATCGGGCGTGTTGAAACAAAATGGCTATGTTTGTAGTGATTTTATAACATATTTATGTTATAATTTTTTAAATAAATAAATATATATATATATATATATATATATATATATATATATATATATATTATTATTAACCCATGGTTTCTTCTGCTACACAAGAATTAACATGTTTCAAAAAACCGAAGCTAAAACTGTAAGAAAATCTGTGGCAAAGGGACCATATTTTTAAATCAGTTAATTTATAATATTTATGCTCAGTTTAATTACATTGAGCACTGTTTTGTAAAAATAAAATATGAATAAATAACACCTGATTATATATCTTACTGTTTTTCTTTTTACTATAATATATATATATATATATATATATATATATATATATATATATATATTGTATAAACAGAAAAAAAAATTAATTTTTTATTATTATTTATGATAATAATAAAAGTAAAAAAAAAACAGGCTAGCTAACCGGTTTTTGAAACTCACTTTTTATATTTTTTATTATCGTCAAGGGCGTGTGTAATATTGATTTGTGTCTGTTTATATCAGTTATATATATATATATATAAATATATATATATATATATATATATATATATATATATATGTAAGCAAATATATGAATATAGATCCGACAGTATGATTAAAAATATATGGAAAAACAAAAAAAAAACCTAATATGTTATTGCAAAATGTTAATATAATGTCAACGTCGGACTATTCGAAAATAAACGTCCGATCTATTGACATTATATTAACATTAAAACAGCATCATCGCATATTAGGATTTTTTTTGTTTTTTCCATATATTTTTCAAAAATATATATATATATATATATATATATATATATATATATATATATATATATAAGTTTGCGTGCCAAATTATTATCGAGATAGCTACTTTTTTAATATTTCAAAAACCGTCCAATCAATTCACAATGTTGGCAACATTCACCTGCGCAATCACTGAAATTTTCGTAATGATCTACGCAAGGTAAACAAACTGGCGCCATATTTGTTATTAGCGCTGTGATTTTAGCGTGCGAAATTATTAGAAAAGATTTTAGTGAAAAGATGGGCCGTAAAAGTAGTTTAAGTGAAAATTTTGTGTGAATTGATTGGACGGTTTTTGAAACATTAGAAAAAAGTTATCTCGATAATAATTTGGCACTCAGTGTATATATAAATTCACTGCGACCTCTTTCCCTCATGTGCAGGTTAGTCCAATCAATATCATTTTAGTTCGATAAATTTCTAAATAACAAAACGCATAACTGTTTTGGTTTACATTACGAAGAGACACTGGAAAGATCTCAGCCTGACAAAGACGGAAGCCTTATACTCCAAAACCTTTGGAAGAACTCGATAACAAACAGAGGCTACGGCTATATGTGTGTGTATGTGTATGTGTTTGTGTGTGGCCTTGTCCGTTGAGCGGTGTTATATGGTAATTCATTTCCCATGGTCAGAGTTGAAATATAAAACCTCTCGTCGTCATCTCAGTATAAGATATTGTACATACAACTATGTGTATGATTAGATAATTAAGATGGAGAGAAACGTGCTAGCGATTGGCATATGTACATTTTATATCTCCGCACACCAAAAATACTTGCACATATCCTAATGTGAGCAGAGAAAGATGTTTCTATCCAATCTACTTTAGCATTAAAAGTGGTCCATTTTTTCATGCCCCAGTTCACAGAAATGCTATTTATTACAAAGCTCAAATATGTGCGTCTTTTCTGAGGTGCGGCCGGACGCATTCCGTTCTGTCGGCAGAAGAGGAATTATACCAAAATGGACTCTCAGCAAATTAACGTCGTTGATTTAAAGGTTGGAACAAGGCAGAGATTTAAGAGATTTTTTTTTTCTTTTTGCGACGGAGGAGATACCCTGAGAATAAAAGGAAAAATATGGGATGATGGGAAGGAAGTATCAATAGAAATAAGATAGTCATAGGGAAGTTATGACGAGAAAACATTACGTATATCACTCAGCCAAAAAAAGAAACGAAATGTAGTAGCAAACAAAGGAAATCCTTATTACAGTGGATCTAAGACGACAGGAAAGAAAAAATAATAGAAAAAGGCAAACAAATATTGAATGAAAAAGGATGTATTATAAGAAAGAAACAGTAAATGAATGAATGAAGGAATGAAAACAGCAAACATAAAAGGAACAGCTGAAGAGGCTAAAAAGGAAGGAAAAATAAAGAAAGGAATGAATTTAGGAATGAGTTTTGGAAAAAAGAAAAAATGCTAAGATAGCAGGGAATTATGAAGAAATCAATAATGAAAGAAGGAAAAGAGCAAACAAAAAAGGAAAAGATGAAAACACAGAAAAAAAAAGAAGAAAAAATAAAGAAAAAAATGAATTTAGGTATGGATTTTAGAAAAAAGAAAAACTCCAAAGATAGCAGGGAATGATCAAGAAACCAATAATGAATGAACGAAAACAGCAAACGTAAAAGAAAGACATAAAAAAGACGAAGGAAAAAATGAAGAAAAGTATTTATTTAGGAATGAATGTTACAAAGAAAAAAAAAAAAAGGGCAAAGATAGCAGAGAATGGTGGAGATATCAACAATGAATGAATAAAAACAGCAGACATAAAAAGAAATGCTGAAAACAGAAAATAAAAAAACGAAGGCAAACTTAAGAAAGGAATAAATTTAGGAAAGAGTGATGGAAAGAAGAAGAAACTGGAGAGATACTACGAAAGAATGAAGGCAAAATGAATGAAACAAAGAAGGAATGAACGGATGAATCATTGTAAAATAAAAGAAAGCTGTTAAAAATGACAGAAAATATGAAGGAAAACTGAAGGAAAAATAGAAAAAAAGACATAAAAGAAGAAATAAAATAATGAATGAGCGAAAGAAGACAGTTTTAAACATCACAGGAAATGCTAAATGCACAAAGAAAGTATGAAATAAAGAATAGAAACAGGATCAATCTTAGTATCTCTTTGAGGTTTTGAAGGCGTCTGGTTCTGGGGTTTCTAAACTGGTGGCAGCATATTCTCCATTGCTCTAACAATGTTGGGGTCGGTGTTATATCGGCGGCAGCGTGGCAGTGGTCAAGGGGTTGGGGCAAATTTTGTCCTTGGTCAATATGTACGCGTCTAGACTCCCCCATATATAACGATCATGTGCCATGTCATGTCTTAGAGAAGAGATTATTTAAATAAAATGCTGAAATCAAAATTAAAGAAAAGAAATATTGAATGAACGAATGAAAGAATAAAGGAACGAATAAACGAAAGATGGTAGGAAGGAATAAGTTAAAGAATGGATGTAAGAAGAAAACAGTTAAAGAAAAAAAATGGAAGGAAGCGAAGAAATAAGGAATGAAAGAAAGAAGGAATGAAGAAAAGAAAGAAAGCACGAAGGAACGAAGAAAAGAAAGAAAGCAAGAATGAAGTAAAGAAAGAAAAAGAAAAGAAAGGAAGCAAAGAAGGAAATAATGAATGACTTATAGAAAAAGGAAGGAATTAGTGTAAGAACGAATCCAGTAATGCAAACAAACGAAGAAAGAATGACGGAAGGAAAGAAAGAGGGAAGTAAAGAAAGAAAAAAGAAGGAAGTAAATAATAAAGAAAGGAATGAATGAATGAAGTAAGAAAGAAAGAAAGAAAGAAGGAATGCGTCTAAAAAGAAAACAGGTAAGGCAAACAATTGGAAGGAAAGTAAGAATTACCGAAATGATGAATGAGACAAAAAAAGAAGGGAGTAAATAAAGATAAAGGAAAGAAAGAAAGAAAGAAAGAAAAGGGTAAATCAAGTAACAAAGAAGAAAGAAAAAAGTAAGTTTAAAGAATGAAGGAGAAAAGGAAGGAAGGAATGAAGGAGAAAAGGAAGCATGGAAAGAAGGAAGGTAGGATGGAAAGAAAGAAGGAAAAAAAGGAAGGATAGAAGGAAAAAATGAAGAAAAGAAGGAAGGATGGAAGGAAAGAAGAAGGATGGAAGGAAAAAGGGAAGGAAAGAAAGAAGGGTGGAAGGAAAAATGGAAGGAAGAATGGAAAGAAGGAAAAAAGGAAAAAGGAAGGAAACAAGGAAGGAAACAAGGAAAGAAAGAAGGAAGGACGAAAAGAAAGAGGGAAAAAAGGAAGTATAGAAGGAAAAAAGAAAGGAAGAAAGGACGGAAAGAAAGAAGGAAAAAAAGGAAGGAAGGAAGCAAGGATGGAAAGAAAAAAAGAATAAAGGAAGCAAGGAAGGAAAGAAGGAAGTATGGAGGGAAATGTAGAAGGAAAATGAAGGATAGAAGGAAAAAATGAAGGAAAGAAAGAAGGATGCCAGGAAAAAAGGAAAGAAGAATGGACAGAAAGAACGAATGAAAAAGGAAGGATGGAAGGAAAGAAGAAAGAAAAAAAGGAAGGAAACAAGGAAAGAAAGATGGGAGGACGAAAAGAAAGAAGAAAAAAGTATGGAAGGAAAGAAGAAAGGAAAGAAAGAAGGAAGAAAGGAGGGAAGGAAAGAAGGAAAAAAAGGAAGGATGGAAGGAAAAAAGTAAGAAAAGAAGGAAGGATGGAAGGAAAAAAGGAAGGAAAGAAAGAAGGATGGAAAAAAAAAAGGAAGGAAAGACAGAAGGATGGAAGGAAAAACGGAAGGATGGAAGGAAAGAAGAAAGAAAAGAAAGAAGGAGACAAAGAAGAAGGTAAACAGAATGAAAAAAATGTTATACAAATGAGCGAATCATGGTAAGAATTAAGAAAAACACACAGAGAGAGAGAGAGAGAGAGAGAGAGAGAGAGAGAGAGAGAGAGAGAGAGTTTAGAGGAAAAATACAGAAAAAGAAAATAAATGAATGAATTACCGAATGAGTGTAAGAATGAAACAAATATAACCAAAACCTATATACCCAAAACAAAACCAGAAAAAAGACGAAAACATTCAAAGAATGAATGAAAGAGGAAAACATAACAAACATACGAACGATGGTCAACAGAAGGAATAAACAATGAAAGATTTTCAAAACATAAAGAAATTCAAAATATAAAAAAAAAATGGCGACGAATGAAAGAAAGATTTACAGAAAGTGTGGAAAACGTTGAAAAGAATGGACAATTCTCAAGAATTTAGATAAAACTTTTAGAAGTGGCTATAAAATAAAAAAAGTTGGCAAGTATTTGAAACCTAAGTGTCCAGCCAAAACAATAATAATAATAATAATAATAATAATAATAATAATAATAATAATAATAATAAAACATACACACACGCACAGAAAATATGGCGAGGAAAAATAAAAAAAAATAGGAGTCAAAGATTGGTTGGAGGAGGGGATTTATAAATTAGGCTCAAAGGATTGGTTGCAGGAGGGGGGTCGCAAAGATCAATATTTTATGTCAGGATGAAGCTACCATGGGTAACAGCCAGCCCAGAAATACTAGTGCTTTTAGCTACGTGACGATCGTAAAGACATTTGCCATTAGCTGCCAAAAATAGTCTTTTTAAGTCAATTTATATCTATATATCTATCTATCTATCTATCTATCTATCTATCTATCTATCTATCTAAAAAAGCAATGAATCTATAATTTAATCTATTGCAGTCAATTATCTATCTATCTATCTATCTATCTATCTCAATTATCTATATCATTCATCTATCTATCTATCTATTTATATATATATATATATATATATACATCTTTCATCTATCTCTATTGCAAGAAAATTTATTTATCTTAGTCATTTATCAATCTATCTATTGCAGTCATCTATCTATGTATCTATCTATTTATCTATCTATCTATCTATCTATCTATCTCTTGCAGTCAATTATCTATCTATCTATTTCAATCAATTATCTATCTATATTAGTCATTTATCTCTCTATCTATCAATCTATCTGTCTATTTCAATCAATTATCTATCTATATCACTCATTTATCTATCTATCTATCTATTTATCGTTTGTACAAATCTATCTATCTATCTCAGTCATTTATCTATCTCTCTATTGCACTCAATTATCAATCTATCTATCTATCTATCTATCTATCTATCTATCTATCTATCTATCTATCTCAGTAATTTATCTATCTATCTATTGCTGTCAATTATCTATCTATCTCAATATCTATCTATATCAGTCATTTATCTATCAACCCTATCTATCTATCGTTTGTACAAATCTATCTCAGTCAATTACTTCTCTCTCTATCTATATGTATATATATATATATATATATATATATATATATATGTGTGTGTGTGTGAGTGTAAAAATCTATGAACGTTTCAATTCATATCTTAGGAGACTCACTGTATACACATATATCTATCTATTCCAATCTATTTATTTGTAACTGTTGTGGTAGGATCCACCTAATTTGCATAGTGGAGTACCGACCATATAAATATGGTTGGTACCGGGAAGAGAGCGGAGGAATGAAGAGATTCAACCCAGAGACTCTGCCCGACTGCGACTCAGTCAACACATTCTCCAGGAACGGTCTTACCAGTAATATACAAAAGACTATATGTAAATATTGTGTACACTTTCTTGTTTCAATACATTTTGTTCTAAGTACATTTTGTGTTGCATTATTATTCCATGCATTAGTCAAGTTTCAACAGTAACCAAGTCTTTTTTTTTTTGTTATTGAGCATTCGATTTCACCGTTTTCATACATCCCATCTTGCAGCATCTGGTATTCTCAGACGGTCACCCATCAAGGTACTGACCCGGCTCGACGTTACTTAACGACGGCAATCGTACGGGAACCAATGTTTCAACGTGATATGGCGGTAATCCCTTATTTTATAGGAAATATGAACTTTCCATAAATAATTCCCATTCAGATGTCTCAAGTTTACCGGGAATATCCTTTTCGTCTTTTCAAAATGTACGAGAACTTAAGTTCAATCCAGATCGCCTCCTAGGTCACAAGATGCGCTAGTGGAACTCATACATTCAATCGATTGCCAAAGGTGCTGCAAAACCATCAAATTTTTCTATCGACCCAGACATAACTGACACCTTCTGTCACGTTTTATCGTTACAAGAGTCAGATTAGACCCAAACTAGAGTATTGCTGTCATATTTGAGCCGGAACATCTCAATACACACTCATCAGCCTTAACAAACTTCAAAACGTTTGTGTGCTCTTGAGGGTGATGATTTATTTACTTTTCACCCTGAATCCCTCATTCCTATAGAGTTGATGTCACTGTTGCTACTCTTTGGCTGTTTCCAAAGTAAATTAGCAAGAAGAACTCATTGCTTTAATTACACAATTTCCAGACGAATTCTACTTAATTTCATTTCAGACGATTCAGATTAGATACAACGAAATCGAGCGGAAATTTTCATGATCAAGGCATTTAATGTTGATAACGTTAAGAACAGTTTTCAAACAGCTTTAGATGAGGGCCGAATGTCAGGAAATACTCAGTTTTTTCGAATAAATAAATGTCGATAGCCGTGCGATGTTTATTTCAGACTTTTAAACAATTAAAATTTATGGAAAAAAATCTAGTGTCGGTGAAAAAACTAACCTGGCAATGCAAGAAAAATGGATTTTCAATCGGTTCAAATCGGAGCAAGAATTGGCTGGTCCTGTTTTAAAAAAAACTAAACTAGACCTATTGATCATAAGATATCCGAGATATATCCCCCATTAGAATGTCTGATAGTCAACTTATATGAGGGCAACTCCCCTGCGTCTGATCGGTTTCACGTTGACTGCTGACCTGAGATGGAACAAATACATTGAGTCAATTGCTTCTTCCCTATATGGAACGTTGGCTCTCTATTATATATATAATATATATAGGAAATTTTTCTCCTGGAATCGATTATTATAAAAATCAACCATTCGCCCTTGCATGGAGTATTGCTACCATATATGGTCTTTAGCACCTTCTGTTTATCTAGGAGTTCTTGACAAGATCCAGAGAGAGATATGTAATATAATTGGCCCTGATCTGGCGTCTCGTCTACAGTAAAAGTTCCCAGACTCCATGAATTAACGTATTTTAAGAAATTTGGCATCCAATGAAATAACAGATAGAAACTTTTTAAATGATAACTAGGTCTCTTCTATCCAAGAGCTTAGATAAAATCGCACCTCTCGCCTGTGGGAACATCCTCGCAAATAATTATGGCTTCCCTGAAAGCGTATAATCTCTAACTATTCAAATGTAATGTCAATCGACATCTTTTTTACCTTTGATCTATCCACTATAAATCTCCTCATCCTTTCTTTATCACTTTTTATCTGCTCTTGTCCAAATCTTCTGAAAACCCCTAAATATTAGTGAATTTTCGCCTTGCTTTTATGTAAATATAAAAAAAAAAAATCTGTTCAGATGAGATGACATTTACAGTTAGGACGAAAAAGTGCTTTTACATAAAAAAAAAATATTATTTTCTAAATCATTTCAACCTAAGCACGGCAATGAACTTAATAAGACCCAACGCGTTACTGACTGTGAGAGAATATTTGAAAAATAGTATTAAATACAGAGGACCAATAAAAAAAAAAAAAAAAAAAAAAAAAAAAAAGAATTAATAAAACAAAAAAAATGACGATTGACATTGCATTTAATCTTTTGAAGAGCATTTTACCCGGAAAGCAAGAAGCCGGAAGAGAGCTCCACAAGAGAGAAAAAAATTATTTGAATAGATCTTGCGGTTACATCTAGCCAATTCCACTGTCAAATGGTAAGACCTTGCTGCCAATCTGATACTGCACTTAGATTCGTAAAGTGTAGATACAATAAAGGAATGCTCATATGAACAATTACAATGAAACTCTTTATAGAAAAGTCACAGAGAATCTACATTACGGCGGTGGGAATGTGACTGAAGTCGAGATGCCAGATCAGGACCAATAATATTGCAGATTCTTCTTTGGATTTCCACTAGAATCTCTAAATATATAACAGGAGAACAAAAACATATGTAGCAGCATTTTTCAAAGTAAAGGTTAATGGTACATTAATAAATATGGAAGTTAGATTCTGGCAAGGAAAACGGAAGACACACTGAAACGAATTTTCTAAAAGCAAACATATCAATAGAATTGTTATAATCATTCCAGTTCATGTCAGCAGACAACTTTAGTTCGAGAAGGTGAACTGTATCACTGTTCTGAAAGTGAACACCAGCCACGCTGATGGAAGATAATAATAAAAAAAACAGTTCCCTCAGACAATTAAAAGCAAGCAGTTCCGTTTTGTAGACGTTAAAATTAACACGCCATTCCTTGCCCTAGTTAACAACAGAAATTGGATCGTTTTATAGACCAGCTGCCAATTTGACCTTATCGCACCACATAGGCTTACTATTAAAACAGGAATAAATAGTTTATCCATTGTAGTTATGGAATATTTGGTCAACTCTTTTATATTGAGACTCTTATTCTGCAAAAAAATCCATGACTAAAACGATATATGTTAAATATATATATACATTAAGGAAGGTTACATTTATATGTTAAAGTACTCAAAGGGATAGAGCGTATGTAAATATAAAAGTGGGGATTGAATTCAACATCCAGAGGCGACAGTCTGTTTCATACTTGAACGCAATAGTCTGGGGTATTCGAATATATATATATATATATATTAAGAAATGGACAAGGTCCGACAATTTATTTATTAAAGACATATTTTATGTTTAACGTTGTTATTTTTATAGATACAAGTATTTAAGCAAATGCTCTGTTTATGATAAACAGTATTAAATAACATTTACCGGCCTGAATGTCCGAGAAATTTTCATAGAAAATATTCGTTCTTTGACAGGATTCGAACCTGCATCCTATACGGAACCGTCATATACGCTGACGTGCCTTACCGCTTATAAGCAGTAAATTCGACCTTGTCTACCGAACGCTTCTTTGTAGCCTTTCATAGAGACAATGTGGTATTATGGTGGCTGTAGTAAGAAAGGAAAGTAGGAATGCGTTGCTTCTGTGTAAGGAATATTGTTGTCTGTTTGTTTCAGTGTTTATGGTTTATTAAGTTTAAAGTTAAGACAGATGAAAACCGTCCCTTTTCCCCGTTTTGGCCTTGAGCCACATTTTGTATTCATACAAATAAATATTGGATTGATTTACGACTAAAATATCTTGATATAGTCATAGATATGTATTGTAAAATACCTAATGGAACATTTTTTTTTTTTTTTAACAAAGGTTATCCCAAATAAATAATACACAGATATATATATATATATAATATATATATATGACATATATAACATTAAAATAGCAATCTTTTAATGAAAAGTGCTCTTCGGACTACATTTCGTCGATTGTTTGATAAAAACCATCGATAACAAGAACACGCCATGACATTTACATGGTAGCAAACCATCCACACTCTCTCCGTATTCCATCGATGAGAAGTAAGTTCCGCTTGTGCAGCTTCTTCCGGCGAACCTCCGCCCTGTTGAACCGACTTCCAACAGGATTTTCTCCCGATCACTACGATCTTAATATTTTCAAGGATAGGGCTAATCGTTAAAAAAATCATCTATGAAAAAAAAGGTCTCGAAACCATAAAAATTTTTACCTCGAATGGCCTTTGGGCCTGAAAATTAAAAAAGGTGACACTCAAAATGTAAAAAAGAAATAAATGAAAAAATTAACTGAAAAGCAAGAAGTCGAAAAAGAATTCCACAAGTGACAGAAGAAACCGTTTGCATAGAACGTTTATATCCAGCTGTATAAGGATGAGACCTTGCTGCCAATCAAGTACTGCGCTTAAACTCGAGATACCAAAGAGTATCTTGTAAGGATCAGAGCATAAATGATGCCAGTTACTTTCTGGGGAGCATCAAAGAACCGACCATATTTCTGTTGTCCTTATGGTTTTGATTCGTTTGTTTTGTTTTACGGCATATCAACACCTCAATGGGTTATTTAATACCGACAAATTTTTTATTGCTGGCAATATTTTTTTTTCAAAAATCTATTTCTAGTAATATTTTTCCTTGAAAATTCGATTTCTCGTAATATTTTTCTTCAAAATTCGATTTCTGGTAATATTTAAAAGGAAAAAAGTCTATTTCTGGTAATATTTTTTCTTGAAAATTCGATTTCTGGTAATATTTTTTCATTCAAAAATCTATTTTCCTTCTAAAATGTATCGCTGGTAATGTTTTTTTTTTCCAAAAAAAGTACATTTTTTTGGAAAAAAAAATTACCTGTTAACTGTTAATGTTAAAAAACATTAGCTGTTAATATTTTTTTTTTTAAAATGTATAGTTGGTAATATTTAAAAAAAAAAAAAAATTATATCTGTTTATATTTTTTGTAAAATGTATTGCTGATAATATTGTTCCTCATAAATATATTGCAGGTAATATTTTTTTCCAAATATGTATTACTAGTAATATTTTTTTTTTCTTCAAAGCTTTATTGCTGGTAATAATTTTTTTACACAGTATTTCTGGTTTTAGAACCTCATTTTACACTTTCATAGTGTTTTGACCCCAATTTGGGGGTTAACTATTTGCCCATAACTGGGACCCTAACAGGTGTTCACACCCCAGCTCAGGATAGACCTGGGAACACCAAGAATTAACAGGTGGCTCCACGCTCCTAAATACCTCCTGATCAGAGTCGTTGCTGTTGGACATAGTTTATCGTCTCACTCAGGACACGGATGTCGTTAATCGTCATATCTAGGACGCGGATGTCGTTAATCGTCATACCCAGGACGCGGATGTAGTTTATCGTCATACCCATAATGTTGTGATAACAAAGGCAAAGATGTATACGTAAATAATGATAATT